TGTTTAAATTACTATTTACTCTTACATCTTCCCTTGAAGAATTTTCACTGTGGGTTTTTTTGTTTGTTTTCTTTTCTTATTTCAGACATAAGAGTAACAACACTAATCCACCTCCACTTTCACAGAGTCCCATAGCCCAGCACTGCTCCACTGTCTTATGTTGAGGTTTTATAAAAACTACAGCACACACATATCTGTTTGGAAGAAGCAGAGACTGACAATGGTTCAGGTCTTAGAACAAAATTTCCATTTCTGTGACCATCAGCAAATAGAGCCACAWTACCAAGGTCTCTGCAGTGCATGAAGCAGACATTCTGCCCCCCATTCACTGCCCAGGACATAATGACAGGATTACTTTTCACAGATTTTTCTACCTATTTAAGCATTCTTCTTTTGCCCAACCAAGACACAATTTGGTTCGTAAAGTGAAGTGCATGGCAAAAGAAGAATGGTTATATTGTTCATCATATGCAACAAATAGACGTGAATAGTGCTGCATTTTAGCTCTACTTATTTTATTTCATGACTCCCTTGCTCATAGCAGTTCAGAACCTCCACTTAAGCAACTGCATCATACCAAATATTGCTCAAGATGTAATAAGGATCTTGAAGGATTATCCCAGAACATCCAAAGAAGCAAAAAATCTTAAGTATTCAGATAATGCCTTTTCTATCAGTAACTGAAGCAAATCTTATAAGGTTGATCCAATTATTGTTTCCACATTTTTCATCAACTGTGATCAAAAAAGTCTTTAACATTCAAAAGAGTATCCAGACTCAACAGAGGTGATTTGGAGAGAGACACAAAAGCTCTTCATTGCCTCTGTATCAATTGCCTAACCTGGGCTATGAAAGATCAACCAAATCCAGCCCAGTGTCACAAGCATTTCACTGYTCAGCAGTACTACCAGTAAATCTAGACAATTTCAACATATAAATCTATAAAAATTGTGCAACAGAATAATTTTTGGTATCAGGCAGAATTAAAAAGTGGAAGTGACAGGACACTTCAGTTGGGTAATAGGTATCAAATATAAAACTTCTCAGCTAAAGCTTCTGGCCAACCAAACATTGCTTGATCTAAAGATAATGAAAATGCACTGAAGCTTGAGAGAGCACTTGAGTAACATCTAACATGCTCAGACAGCCAAAGCATTATCATCTGAGCTACCACAGCCTAGTAAATTCATTTATATTTCTCAAARAGAAGTCTCACAAACTGACAATGCTTTTATTGTTGCAGTTCCCAACAACTATGGGAAATTACTAGTTTCCTGAAAGACAAGAACACATATTGATTTTCCCATTAAGAAATAAATTCCTGGCATGAAAAAAACAATGYTGAAAATAAGTGACGCCAGTGAGACCAGATTTCATTAACTTATTTTCAAATTGAATTTTTGCTGGCAGAAATTTTCAGTCTTGAGTTAGGAAATACAAAGATCATGTAAGTRCAATTTAAGACATAGAGTGAAAGAYGGTTTCTTCYGTATTCAGACTTAACTTTATCACACTTAAAACTGTCCCTAGATCAGGGCTATATTAACCACTGCAGCTAACAGAAATACTTCTAGAAAGTAATTCATAAGATGAAGTATTTTTGTGTGCAGAGACAYATACAGGCAGTTTGGAGAGGTTTCTTCTTAAAAGAAAACAAATGGATGCTCAGGATTGCAGRTGTATAAAACCAATTCTTTACATTTAACACTTGTGAAAGAAATAGCAAATACTCATGAGCATGGCCAACACTCTCTGTTAAAAAAAAAATATGAGGTCTTAAAAGCATCCCTAGTTTTGACTTTTAAGTTGCTTCTTTTTGCTGAGGAATAATTGAGACGGTTTTTTCATCAAATCACAGCTAAAATTAACACTGTAGGCAAAAACCCTATTTCATTTGGTAATCCATATAATTTAAACAAAAGAGAATTCCATTAGGGACATACAGGCAACATGCTCAGAACTTCCTGCTCAGGGGCTGTGTTGTGCCAGGGAGAGATGGAAAAATGGAGACAAAAAGGAAAGAGCGTAAACAAGACAAAAAAACGAGTTCAGAGGCTGCCAAGTTTTATCTCAACTTCAGGATTGGGCATAACACACATTGTGTTCTGTTGTTCCTTATTCATTCATGGTTTATGGGTAATATTCTGGAAAAGGTGATGGTGGGGATACAAATTACAGAATCATAGAAGCAAAGAATCCATTAGATTGGAAGAGACCTCTGAACTCATCAAGTCCAACCTATCACTGAATATCACCACATCAATTAGGCCATGGCACTGAGTGCCACGTCTCACTTTGAGGCAGGTCACCTGCCTGGAGAACAAAAGGCAAAACTTCACTGTACTGCATGCAGGAATAAAGCAGCTTAAATGCAATGCTTCCATGCAGCTCTGAGGGGAAGTGCTCAATGAGTGCTCTTGCCAGATCCTCTTAACAATGTGCTTTCCAGGACTGTTTAATGCTTGTCCTCAATTAGATCTCTAGATATAATTTATGAAGTGGTAATTTTCATTATCAAAATCTTATTTCCCCTTTCTTCCTCCCAAATTTTCATTGAAGAGTCCTCAAAGCCTGAGCCTACACAATGATATAGCACCAAATTTTGGAAAACAAGGCGCTTTTTTTTTTGTTTTGTTTTATTTGTTTGGTTTTTGTTTGTTTGTTTGTTTGTTTGTTTGTTTGGTTGGTTAGTTGATTTTTTTATTTTGGGTTTTTTTTGTTGTTTTTGTTGGTTTGATTTGTTTGGGTTTTTTGGGTGGGATTTTTTTGGTTCTTTTTTTGCTTTTTTTTTTTTTTTTTAAGAACTATGGAACAGGAAAACAACACGATGAACTTAACTTTTCCAATCTTTCTCTAAGAAAAAACATCTAATGAAAATATAACATTTTAATTATATGTAAGAAAAGCGACAGAAATTTAATAGTAAGTTMAGAGGAAAAAAATAGGAATAAAAGCAGAATCAAACTTTTTACTTATAAATCAGACTCTCTGGATGTGAGGATACAGATCCAGTTTCCATCTCAGCACATGAACTGAGCACACTAGTGTCCATTAAATACCGCACCTGGAAATATTCCAGAATGYTTTGCTCTCAGTCTACTTAATGTCACATACTTGGAATAAATAATTAAATTTCAGTGGAACTGGGGCCAAACCCAAGTTTTTCTACTTCTCTAATGACTTAGCTATTCCACCCTGAAGGGTAAACTTCTCGCTAAGTTTTATGAAGCAACCTAACACACATYGCCATAATTTTTTCCAGTGTGTTCAGCATATCTACTCAACTCCTGAATTCACAAGTAGTTTTGCATGCACCAAAGCTACACCAACTCAGCTAATTTACTGCTTGCTGAATCAAATGGCTGGTGCTATTTGCAACTGCCTCCACAGTGTTCCCAGAACTCGCTGGCAAAAAGGATGAAGAGCTGAAGGAAACAGAACCCATTGTCCATAGCTTTGCCACTTTAACAGCACAGTTGCAATTAAAGTGATCAGYTGAGAGATATTGAGTCTACTGATTTTTAATTCTGTAAGGAAAAGTAAAGAAATGCCTCTCCCCTCAAAGCCGTTATCAAATCCTTCTGTTACAGCAATATCACAAATAAAAGGGGAAAAAAAATCCTATGAATAGACTTCTTTGAGTTCTGACTACAGTTTAAATACTGATTTTTGTTTCAACAGGTCTCTGGCTCCCTGAAGAATATTATGGCATTCTCATTTAAATCACTTGAAAACTCTGCCTCGCCCTGGCTGGACTGGGGAATTGAACCATTAGTTTTGTGCAATGAAAGAAACTGATTTTTGTGCAAGTCATTTCTAGTCCCCYTTGGGCTAAGAGCACATTGACTTTGTAGCTTTTTTAAAATTATTATTACTGAAAWATCAGAGAGCAAATGAGAGAATATAAAAACTGCACAAACTGAATGAGCACTGCTTCTAAATTAAATTGTATTTAATATTACAGTGCTTTGACATTCCAGRTGATTTGTAATCTTAAGACAAATATAGCACAATAATGAAAATACTAGCAAAAAATATTGCAGCAAAAAGAAATAGCAAAGTACACTCTCAGATCCTAAACTATCTATTTGATAAGTATAGCAGTAGTAATTCTTTATACGATTAAGGCATGACCTGAAAGAACTCAATGGACTATTCATAAAAGGAAAATGTTCTTTTAAAAATGTTCTGTTCCACACAAGAAAAGTTCATCTGCCATGACAGAAGCATATTTTGGAACACCTGAGATGTTAGTAAGATTTTTACTTTGTTAAAATCATGAAGAGAAGTAAGGCATAATAGTATTTGCAATAAGAATGTTAGACATGCACTTTATCTTTGGAGTGAGTAAATAAAGCCTGGAATGAACTACCAGTTGGATTAAAAAAAAACTGAAAGAAAATATGCAATTTCCAGAAAATTAAAAGTAATAAAATTGCAACATGCAGTGCAAAATGTGAATATTCACACAAGAAAAAAATACATGAGCTTTAAAAGCTCACTAATAAGTTAATTGACAGCATTTTGTTRTACAGCACAATAACTTTTCTGTTTCAGTCAAATAGATATTTTCAGACACTATTTCACCTTATATTTAGAATGCATACACATTTTCAAAGAGAATATGTGCACAAATAAATTATTCACAGACACATGCAACATGTTTCTGTTCTTTATGTGCATTACATACACTGCCTGTTCCTTTTAATTCTAGTGTACAGATTACACATTATGCTCTGAAAATCTACAACCACTAAAAAGTAAACATACAGCTTTACCCAGCTAGACATTACAAATATATTAGACATCCTCACACAGCTTATGCAAATATAGGCAAACACATTCYTGTGTGTTCAGTAAAAATACTACAGCTCTTGTAATTAATCTTCCTAGCCAGAAACATGTAAGGGATTGCACCACCCTTCTGCATGGCATCCTATGTAAATGAGTCCAGTGCATTTATAAATATGGATGTGGCAGACCCCCGAACAACACAGTACCTGCTGTCTATCCAAGCGCATCCTTTTTGCAGCATTTCTGCTTTCACTCTCACAGGCGGAAGCCAGGATACTCTCTGCAACTGCTGAAGTAAGGTGTGAGGGAATAGGTCGTGACTATGAAAGAGAAAAAGAAACACAGAAATTATTCCTAGCATAATCCACAACATCCTTTTTTCAAAGCACACCATACCATCACCTAGGCAGGAAAGTCCGCTCATTGAAATGCAGTTTATACCAACAAAACAGGGAAATGGAACTTGCAAGGATGAAAAATGAAACTAGTTAGATGTTAAAGCTGCAGCTGATTCACAGATCCACAAGAAGCCCTTTCCCCCCACAGCTCTATTGTCCAGTGTGTTTAGTCTGGCTCATTAAGCTGTACTTTGAACAGACAGTGGCATATTCTCTGCGTTCCAGCAGCACCCTGGCCGTCTGATTCTTGTTAAGAAAACTGAAAGGCTTTTTATCCTGTACAGCATGTGACAGAGATGAGTAGTGTTTTTTATAGTCATACAAAAAAAACCAACAAAACAAAACAAAAAACCCCGAGTGATAGGGTTGAAACATCACTCAAAACCTAACAGATTGTCAGAACGTTTCAGAGCAGCCTCAATCTGTAGTATATGAATATTTGCATTCCTTGCTGCAACATGACTGATGTGATTAAAACGACTTAAAAAAAAATCTGTTTTTCTTTTGATAATGCCAGCCTTCCAGCACTCCAGATATTTTGTGGTTCAACTAGATATGGTTTGTTTCTCTAATTCAAAACCTTTCAGTACTAATTTCATAGTATTTACACATTTTAGGTTAAAGGTGCAGTGAATCCCCCAAAACAAGGGAATGACAAAATCTTTTTAGTGTCATTGTTGATTATGCCATGCAGTATGATCCTGCCTATCATTTCATTAGGAAGAATATTTACATACCTTTTTTTTTTCCTGATTATTTACAAAACAATCTTTCTGAAAGATGAAGCTCATAATTATCTTCTTCATTAATATACAAAGATATATCAGAACTACCAAGAAAATAAACAAAGTGGGGGTAATAACAGGAATACTGACGTATATATAAACCCATTACAGAGACTGCAACTTACTGAGTTTGAACTTCCAGAAATTTTCAAAGTTTCATTGAACTCAAATTTACATGTACTATGTAAATTTTTTCCTGCTGAGGAAGTGGCCATGTATGAGGGCATTTGGGTGTGGTTTTTGGCTTGCTCTTTTTTTTTTTTTTTTTTAAGGGTTTTACTCTCTTACTCCCAAAAACATGGATATGAACTTGCTATGAAATGTCAATGAATTTTGGAAGAAAATTTTGAAGGCATTTTCATGCCTAGACAACCTTAAAACAGATTAATTAGATAGGCTCAACTGATTTTATGTTTTTTTGTAACATTCCAGAAACTGAGGAGCCAGCCATTATCAGTATTACATTTTTACCTTTAAAAATTAAAGTACATTTATTGACTTTGGATATACTCCTCAGAATGCCAATTTTTAATCTGACWCTCTGCTTTCTCTAAAGCATGGGACCATAGTATGTCTGGGGCCAGAAGCTGAACYAGCTTTTAGAAACAGACAGGGATTTATGGGTCTTCCTCACAGGTACAACAGGCTTGTTTCTCCCCACTTATACGAGAACAAGCTCTCTGRCATCAGCATAACAGCAGTGTAAGAAAGACAATCAAAGGCTGCAATACTGCAATAAATTCTACTTGGATTTATTTGACAGAACGAACTATTGAACTTGTTTCCAGTTTTGAGAGTAATTCACTCTAAGAGATGAGGGACACTGATCTAAACCTTGGTGTCGTGACAGAAGGTGACATTACCCGCAGTACAAGCAGACACCTTATTCAGAGCTCCAGAGGACCAAGGAAGTCTTTGCAAAAGGTTTTCACTGACAAAGCACTATATTTATTATTCTGCCTCCCTAGGGTGGTGATGTTACTCTGAATTTGTTACTGCATCCCACTAGATCCCTCGCTGTATGTGGTGGCCAAGTACATGCCACTGGTTTATTTTGTTCAAGGTGCACACGTTGGCTTCATGGAGGTCTCAGTGTGGTCCTGTATCTGTGGTCACACAATGATGGGCATGAAAAATGGTGACCAAACACCTGGTTAATTCCTCCAGCTCTAAAGGTTAGCCTCTTCTGCTAAACCTGTAACTATACCTATATATCAGAGGGTGATATATGAGCCAAAAAAAATAAATGTTCTGACCAAAAAGTAAAATGAACACCAGTTCTCCTAGTTTGTTTATGGGACAGAATAGGTTTATTGAAGTGTTTTATAAAACAAAAAAATAAAGAGTATGATAAAAATCAAGCAGTGATCTTTTCTCTAAAAAGGAGCGCAGTGGTCAAGTGCTCACTACTRAAATATTGAACTCAAGTTAGCACCTGCAAAAAAGAGGAAATCTCTGAGTAATGGAGTATCTTCCTCTTGAAATACATGTTAACAAATAATTTCTCTCACTCATCCCTGCAGCTGGCTGWTGATATGTTCATGTCAAGAACTATCTAGAGTAAACCTCAGGGAAAATGTGATGAATACATRGCTCATGGGAGTAAAGTACTGCAACAGAGCACAGCAAAAAAAATCATCTGATTGATGTTCGGGCTTTATCAACAGAACATTAGTCTGGCATTGACTCAGAAGATGAACACATTCTGTGTCACTAGAAGCAGTGCTTTTAAAAAGCAGATTTTCTGGTATGTGAAATTCCACATCTGTAAAATGTCAAAAATATCAATTTTGAAAAGCCTGCCTAAGAGGAAAAATTACTTTGAAATAACCACTTCTAAAAAATTGTTTTTAAATAAAACWGAATTAATATCTTTATCTTCTAAGCTCAGAGGCCCCTTTCTGGCTTAGCTTAGCCTCCTTTTGCTCTCCACTTTTGATTATTCATGATCTCTCTCATAACTACAGCTGTAAAACCAATTCTGTAAGAAGCTTGAACATCCCTGTTCTGAACACGTCTCAACTCCCGATCTGAGGATRAGACTCAAAGGCCTTGGAAAACAAAAAAAAAAAGTGGTATCATTCAATTTTGCAGAAAGGAATCTGAAGATCTCAGCCCAAACATCATTTTGAAGGTCCCCAGRCTGCCCTCTGCAGAGCTGAAACCTGAGTGCTGGTTCCTACATGTTTGGAACTGCAGTAGGAAATGTGGGAGCCAAGRAGAACTTTTTTCTAAGGGCTCTCAGGCTGCATCCACAATCCCTGGATCCACAACCTACCCACTGAGYTAGCAGAAAACCAGGTTTCATTTTATGCAGTGTCTCGAAACAGAAAACCCTTGACAAACTAACATTTCTTAAAGGGAAAAAAAAAAAAAAAAGGTATTATCAAAAAAATTCCCAAACAGCTTTATCTGGTTCAGAATGAACCTAATGTTGTCTGACAACATAACATTCACAGCCCCTGTCTGGTAYTTCTCTCACTTCACAGCGATGTAAAGCAGGAAATAACTATAGTGGAATTACCCGTGTGTAAAACAACAAAAAAGAAGAAATCCTGTAAACTKAAGTCTACCAAAAGTAGCAAATCACGAGACAGGATAACAGTTTTGTCATTTTGAACCAATGWCAGACAGAAAAGATGCATGTGAGAATTTTTTAGTAGCTCTCAGGCAAAGAGATGAATAGAACGCAGAAGAAATCTGGTGAACAGTGTAATACAGACCTTCTGAGAAGACTGTATGTCCATCACACAACAGCAGTACACAGAATTGCTTTGTTTTYACTTGGAAACATGATACTGCTCATGACTGCACTAAAGCAGGAGTCACATTCTGAACACACATCCGGTTTACGCTTTTTACATCTCCTCAGTTGACACACAACCAACATTCAGCCTCTAACACGATGTAGGTGAAGAGCATTTTGACAAAGGAAAGGAAAACCTGCTAGATTGCATGTGCACATGGATGCCTCAGTTTATAACAACTTTTGAAGTGACTGACATTTAGGAAGTGGTCAGAATTCCCTCAGTAACCCATGGGAAATGACCAACCACCTTCAGTCCTCTCATATTTGAAACTGTATTTTGAGACCACCACAGAGCCTGTAGATGATGACAACAAAGCAACATGCACACTTAACCATCTAACTGGACATGCACTGGTGCATGGTCATAGGAGAGATAACTTTTTGTTCAAATTGATTTGAAGTTTTTACACAATGATCCCCTTTTCTATTTTTGAAAGGTTTGTAAGTCATTGACAGACATACTTTTGCAGGCTGCTTAATGAAAAATCAAATTAATTAATACTTCTTTCCAGTCTAATAATTGTTGCTTTGCTTTAAGATATGTTAAACCTAATGCAGACCCTTCCATGACTGATGGTCATTAGATCTGGCYCTCAACAATCAAAGCATCTTGCAGCAAACCTTTCTGAAGTTACMGAGTAGTCCTGCAAGGTTGCTCGTTTTTTAGTAGGTGAAATCAGAAATCCTTGGCTCAGTTCCTCCRGAAATTAGCTCTCTTGGTATAACCTCTGACTTCTTAATAAAGAGACCAGCATGTTCAATATGCTATAAAATATACACTTTCTCTAYACCAACTGTATGCAGTATTGTCAAGTCTTCTGTTTAAAGTGGGGTGCCTTTGAAGTATCTTTATGTGAAATACCAYATACCATTTTTGGCATATTCACACAATTCCTGTATCTCCACATGGAATCTAAAAAAACTTCTATGTTCTAATTTTATATGTACATTTTTGGCATAAATTTACCAATTATTGATAYAATAGTTAACTGATTATATTTCAGCCTAAACCACTAGGAGCAGTACATTCACTAAAATGAATTTCGCAATTTACTGTGCATTCTGTCCATCCGTGGTTAGAGATTTATTGTCTCCATAGTTACTACCTTGACATTTTTATGAGATGCAGAATAAATAAAAGCCAAAGTTGTCGTACAAAAATTTGGTCTAAATACTTTTACATGTTACATCAGTCTGACTCAGTTCTGACAAAATACAGCTGTTCAGTCAGATAATGGGCAGACATGTACACCTGCTGAAATGCCAAGCATTATAAACTGACACGTACATAAACACTACCTTCTAGTTTAGGCAAATTAACACTGAAA